GCACATCTGTGGTATGCATACATACACACGAGCAGAATATCCATATACATAATGTGATTTTTAAAAGTATGTAAACAGGGCTGGTGGCACAGCACAGTCCGCAAAGTGTCTGTGGGACAAGCTCACATGTTTACAGCACACACACACACAGACACATAAACTATATAAACAGATTTTTTTTTTAGCATGGTTTTAATTTCACTGAGCTGGTAAATCAGTTTTATCTTGCACATCCATTGACAGTGGATTCTCTGAGGAAGATTGAGTTCAGCCCAGGTTGGGCAGTCAAGACATTACTGTAACAATGTCTGTTGTGGAAACGGAAGTACACACGACCTCAAGACCTCTTATTGACACTCTGGTACTATGCAATGAATGAAGTTAAGATCTGAAATACTTGGGTCTGAGAGCTAGTTGCCACTGCTGTGATCCTAGCAACGTTTTTAACCTCTGAGCTGCGTCTTCCTGAACCGTAATTTGGAAAGAGAGGAGGATTTAATGGGGCAGCATGTGGAAAGGGCCAGGAAAACCATCAGCAGCTCCACTCAGGCCTTCTTTTCTTCAGAAACACCACAGGGCCTGGATATGGCACCAAGTTCAACTGCGCGTGACTGCTGAGGTCACTGAACTCCGAAGTAGCAAAGCAGACTCAGGTTTTGAAGCTATCCCTAAAACAACCCCGCTTTTTATTTTTGTTTATTTTCCCCCCCACAAGAACATTAAAGGTTGAGATAGTTCAAACCACCGAGAGTTCTCCGTCTTTGAGTTCCCATATCATAAGCACAGGAATCCATTCCTGCCCGCCCAGAATTCACCCATTCAGTGACGTCAATGCACACTCAAACTGTGACTTTCCAAGTCTAATCTCATCTCGGAAAGAAACCGCCCTTCACCTGAATAAACCTGGCCTCTCCATTTTTAAATAAAGTCCACACTGCCACAAATGCCTTCAACAGGAGTACGGCAAAATGTTCGACACGAATGTGAACAATGCTTGCCCAGTCACGCGCTATGGTTAAATGCAGCTACGCTGTAAGCTTGGTAATCTCTGGACCCAACATATGCCAGAGCAATCCGTGGTCAGGGGATATGACCGGATACCTCACGACTCAAACAATTCATTATCTTCATGATCTTTACACGAAGTGAGACCTTGATTTGGATGCCGAGATTCCTGTTTATTAGGCAAATGATTAAAGGTTGCTTCTATCTCATCTGCTAGTTTTCTTATTTTAAAAAGGAAAATCATGCTTATTTATATCATAAAGCAGCTCTGAAACTAAACAATATATGCAAAACCCTTAGTATAGTGTCGGTTACATAGCAGGTAGAAGTAATTACAAAATTACAAAGGCTCCTGTAATATTTACCATATTCATTTATGTTAAATAGTTTATTAATTTAATCCTCATGACTGATACTTTACCATGATTCCCATCTTATGGATGGAAACCCTGACATATATTAACTATGAGTTCACTATAAAGGCAAAGTTACCGGTTTGACTTAGAACACCAACAAAGCTCACTGCCAGCCACAAAGAAACAGCGGCACTGTCATCTACAGCTATGGCAGAGATTGTTAGTATTTGCCCTCATGGATTCGATTCTCTCTTCGTTTTTCCCTAGTGAAGCCACTAGGAAACCTTCCCTACAGTTAACTGTCACGTCCCTTCACCTGCATGTATCATAATCTGCCTGATCTTCAATTATTAATCCAAAGCAATTAGTACTGTTGGCACAGGATCAAAAAATGCGAGTAATTCGCACACAACACACTATGGTTTGTTCTTCCTCTACGGCTTACAGCAATAAAATTTAACAATCAGAAAATTGTGCCTTGCTTCCCTAGAATGCGAATGAGACACTTTCCTCTAGATCTTGACTTTTAATGTAAGAAATACAATTCCTCTACATCTGAGGACTGGTTAACTCAGTCCTACACACTGTATCTTATACATTTAAAATGTTTTGGACCAGGCACTGTAGCACATACCTGCAATCCCAGCTAGTTTGGAGACCCTGGGAGGACGATCTGAAGTTCAAGGCCAGCCTCGGAAACTTTGCAAAACCATGTCTCAAAATGAAAAATAACCCCATTCAGAGACCTTGCTTGGTATTCACAAGGTCCTGAGTTCGACCCCCGGGACCACAAACAACACAAAACAAAAAAGCACACATTTTAGAGAAGAGTCCAGATACTTCACAGGACTGAAAAAAGGCCCATGTCACAAAAACAGGATCCCCAGGAAGTCAAGGCACAGTGAGGATGCCTGGTGACCCAACCAACAGAACCCAAGAAGTGGCAAGCAAACGTCGGTCCAGGCAGGGATGGAGCCTTGAGGAAACATCGGAAGGTCTGCAGGGGGAAGTACTGGGAGATGCGGTTCAGGTGGAAGCTCTCTCTCGACTACAAGAACCATTTTATTTCAAGTTTCAGAAAAGTGCAGGATGTGATCTAAAGGCATGAGGAATCCAACACACACACACCTGAAGCTGCACATTGGATTTACACACAGACACACACACACACACCTACCTGAAGCTGCACATTGGATTTACACACACACACAGACACACCTGGAGCACACAGATGCACACATGCACATACACACACCCCTGGGCTGCACCTGGGATTTACACATACACACACACACACACACCCTGCACCCCACCCCTAGCAAGTATGCTATTTCACCCATTTCATAAGAGGAAGTACCTGAGACCAGACAGTCAGTTAACTTGTTAAGGGCACCAAACCATTCCCGACTTCGTTTCTACCCTCCCCATGCTGTTTCCTCGCCCTTAGCGGGCTCCCTCCCTTTATTTCATGTGATTCATCTAATTTGTAACAGAACAAACATTAAGGAGTTGAGCTCTCCATGGCGGTTTATTGGCAGGGATATGCCTGGACCTAGCATCTCATGTTCTGCTGTGCCCCTTCTCTGTATCAACATTTACGCTATCTTTTGACGAGGATACAATTTTCCTCAAGCCCACGATGGTGCAGTTTCACCAGGACAGTCCTCCAATCAGTACTGCTTTGAGTGTGGTCTTTAGCACACTCCCTATCAGCCAAAGTTTTGAAAACACGGGAAGGGATCTGCTAACAATTTATGGCAAGAACTTTGGACAAAATCTGTTAACGAATACCTATTGGTTCCCCCACACCTGCTCCTCATTTTCTCCTTCCTTCTTTATTCAGTTAACTAGTGTGCTGCAACCATATTCAAGATAACTAAACAAACAGTGCCCCAAGTGTATATCCCAAGGACTCCTGGGATCTACCCTTCTATGGCTACCTGGCTATAAAAAGAATACAGGGGACAGAAAGTCTTGAGAAGCAGTGATGGAATTATCAGTAACAACTCCAAGAGAATGAATGGTAGAGAATAGGAATACAAATATCACCCGGATGCAGTTTTGAGATTGTGTGACTCTTTTGAAATCTACCTTTTAACTTTCTTGAAGAATCTGGGTACAAGTATCGTGAACCTTGTGTTTGTCATTTTTGGATTCTTGATGTTTATGTAAGCAGGGACTTAGCACAGATTAGGAAAGTCGAAAGTTGATAACTAAACTATTTTTGGTGCCCAAGTTAAAAAATTACTACAACCCGTATGTTGTGCTTTCTGTATTAAAAGGCATTTATAAAGTAGAAAAATGTACGTGGTTTGCAGTCCAAACAAAACAGGTCAGACTTTTGAGCAATCATGTAAACAAATGCAGTTCAACGTCCTGGCTTCCAAGGGGGCAGAAGTTTCGAGAGCATTCCCCTCCATCCCAGGAATGCCTACACCAGAACTGAGCTCTGAACCCAGGTTGTGATTTCTAGGACCGGCTGCAGCATTTCTTAACCAAGCAGTTTTGCATTCCCGTTTGTCTCCGAAAGGTTGAAAGTACCGGGGAAAGCTAGGAATGATCAACTGGAATTTCACTATGGTTTCTTCTACATTTAAGATTCTGTGATGGTGGGCAGAGACCACCGAACAAAGACGATGGCCAGGAGCCCCGTTATGCTGCAGGGGAAGAACTGGGGTTCGGGGATCTGGGAAGGCGTCTACCACCCCAGAGCACCTACCTAGTTTCCGAAAAAGTCGGGGGGGGGGGCTGCTCATCCACACACTCCGGGTACAGGAGCCGCGACCGGAGTTTCTAACCCCCACCTACCCAAAGGCATGGGAGAATCGCCCCGGGAGGGAGCCTGAGGCTTCCAAATGAAGGATGGGCGGCCACGAGAAACTCCCCAGCTGGCCTCTACCCCAGAGAACAGGATCGGAAATTAAAGGTCACGGGGGATGATTTACCTGCCCCAAGGACACGAGGTCCCAGGGCAGGGGTGGCCATAGCACACAGCAGGAGCTAGAGGACCCCGCAATGGGACAGAAGTAGGAGGATGGGTGGGAGAACCACCAGGAGCAGGGGTGGAGATGACAGGGACCGCTCGCAGGGCGGCGGGCTGGCTGCCTAGGACTCACCCGAGTGGGAGGCGGGAGCACGCGGCGGGCGGAGCTAGCGAGGACGGGACGGAGAAAACCCTCGAGCGGGTACAAAAACCAGCCAGGGTCCGCACGCCCGCCTTTAAAGCCTCCCAGAGGGGCGTGGTCTCGCCCCGTCCCGCCCACCTCCAGGCCACGCCCCGCGGCTTCTCGGCGGGCCTCCGCCCCGGCGCGCAGAGCTTGGTTAAGGCAGCGGGTTCCGAGCCCTGGCCGCGAGACAAAAGACCGGAATCCCGCCTCTTCCTGCGGCTTCCCGCGCACCGGCGTCTCCTCCCCTCTCCTCCCCATCCCCTGTCGTTCCTACCCTTCGCGTCTGGGACTTCCCACCGAGGTCGGTGTCGCCCCACGGGGTTCCCGCCACCCTCTAGGTGGATTCCCGGGATGCAGGACCCCCCGGTGCAGGATAGTCTCTGGTCGGAGTTCCAGCTTCTGGAATCCACAGCTTTCCTGTCGCGAAAGAGCAACATTCCTCATCTAGACTAAACAAATGACGTTATGAAAACACCTCATTCCCCAAGTGTTTTTGCTTTCCCCACCACTCGTGGCTGAGGGGGAAGAAACCCACAACCCACACAGAAACCCTGGCGCCACACGGCTTCGCGTTTCGGTTTGCCATTGTCAGAAAAGCCCAAGGAGGTCGCTGCCAGCGATGACTGCAGAAAGAACCTAAAACCTCGTTTTGAGGATGACTGACGTGTTGTTTTAGACAGAAAGGTAAATAAGCCATCTCTATTTGGGTTGCATTCTAGGACTTCTAGTGATCCAGTTCTCTGCCGCCAGTAGTGGATTGGCCTAAGAATTTGAAGAATGGTGACCTGTTAGTCCATGACCAAAACTACTCCCTCCTGTCACAAATCAATCATCCCTTCCGTCCAGGCGCGACGCTGTGCTTTTAACAGGGTAGTTGATTCTTTAGTGGGGGTTAAGGGGGCGTTGTAGGATGCCTTTACCTGCTAGGTGGCAGTAGATGCCAGTACCCTCACCTTGCTTCAGTTGGGGGGAAAAAAGTTCCGCTTACATTGCCAGAGGCCCTGTTTGGGAGAGGGCAGGGTTGAGGAACGCCCCTCTGGGATGTATGTCTGTGTAACGAAGTGCAGACCTGGCTTATGATACTGTAGATGCCGTGTGCTGGGCCCGATCCAGAATCAACTCATCACTGCAGCCAGATCCTCTGTCCACCAAGTACGGTACAAACACACGGCAAGTAGTGATTGACATCTCTCGAGACTGCAGCAAGAGTTTGAAAAGTATGGGCGCCTGCTGTGAGCTTTTCTAAATACGGCAGTTCTTCTGTTCACGATTCCAATCTGTTCGCTTTACTGTTCTTACCCCAGTAGCTTTTGGTTTTGTTCTCACCGAATAAAGCTGTTTACATCGCCTTATAAGACACGCTCCCTTTTCTGCAAATGATTGTCCTTTCCCTCCCGAGGTCACCTCGAGTCTCTTTGTGGAAGGGGCCTCAGGACCTGACCTGTTGCCTTTCTGTCAAACGATTTGATGAATAAATAAATAAATAAATAAATAAATGGAAAGGATGTGAGTGCTTCTAGGTGTGGTGGAGGAGAAGGTTTATTACAGACGTGTGGGAGAGCATAGCCAGAGGCAGAGACATCTGTTAAGAGTCCAGTGTGGACAGGACCAGACTGAGCTGGGCCATGTGAGGAAAGGCGGAAGACAAGGTACAGTAGCCAGAAGGCCAATGGTACAAAAGGGAAGGGTAACCAAAATGTCTTCATTACATAGGGAAGAGCCTCTGGGGGAAGGGTAGCCCAGCCCCTGGGTTGGAGAGTTCAGGGTAGACAAAGGGATATGCCAGCCATACCCTGTAAAAGGTACGGACTGAGGGATGCTGGGAGAACCTGGGGGCCAGGTCTGCTTTGACATACTAAACAGGCACCTCAGGCATTATAGGTTTGAAACTTAACACCTGTCCCTATATCCTAACACCAAACCCTGTCATGTGAAACAAAGGTTTTTATGAAACTTGTGGTTGTTTGAATGAAAATGGCTCCCACAGGCTCATAGGGAGTAGCATTATTGGAGGTGTGACCTTGTTAAAGGAAGTGTGTCACTGGGGGGTAAGCTTTGAGATTTCAGATGCTCAAGCCAGGCCCAGTGTCTCTCTCTCTCTCTTCCTGCTGCTGGCCAATACAGATGTAGAACTCTCAGCTACAGCATGGAGTCTACTTGTGTATAGCCATGAAAACAATGGCCTAAACCTCTGAACTATAAGCCAGCCCCAATTAAATGTTGTCCTTTATAAGAGTTGCTATGGTCATGGTGTCTCTTCACAGCAACCTAAGACAAAAGTATTTCTGCTGTCTCTGTGCATATTTCACAGTGACTCTGGAAATGGTGTACGTTGATGTTTTTCTAATGTATTCTCATTTAACTATCAATATCTTAAAATATTGTCTGCTTATTCAAATGTTTAAACTTCAGTTTCAGCTATGAACATGAATAAATTCTTTCCAGCTCTTCAAGAGGGAAGTGGCGGCAGGAAGAAGGGTGACTTTCTCGTGGGATCTGTGGTTTCAACATCCAGTTCTGCAAGGTGCTGGCTTGGTTCTGCAAATAGCCTCTAAGGTAGTGATTCTCAACCTCCCTCACACTGCAACCCTTTAACACATTTCCTCATGCTATGGTGACCCCAACTAAAAAATTATATCATTGCTTCTTCATAAGTATAACTTTGCTACTGTTGGGAGTCATAATGTGAATATCTGATATGCAGGATATCTGATATGCATCCTCTGTGAAAAGGTCATTTGACTCCCCAAGGGGTCACCACCCACAGGATGAGAACCACTGCTCTAAGGCCAGAGTTAAAGTTTCTGTGCCCTACTTACAGTACTAGTGGGACAAGGTGGACCTCGCAAGAGGTAGGGCCTGGTAAAGATCTAGGGTCATTAGGAGTGTTCCCTCAAGGACGATTGCAGATGCTGATCTCTTTCTCTCTGCATGCAGACTTTTCTTTCCTGCCCACCAGTTCCCAAATAACCAACACAGAGACTACATATTAATTGTAAATGATCAGCCAAGAGCTCAGGCTTATAACTAACTAGCTCTGTCATTTTACTTTAACCTATATTCTTTATTTATGCTCTGCCATGTGGGGTGACCTTTGGTAGCATGGCATGTTCATTGCATCTGTCTGACCAACTCCTCTGACTCGCCCTCCCTCTTCCCAGTGTCCGTAGTTTGGTTGCCCCGTCTATACTTCCTGCCTGGCTACCGGCCAATCAGCTTTTTATTAAAGCAATCCGAATGGCAAATCTTCACAGTGTAGAAAAGGACTTTTCCATAGCACCTCCCCATTTGCTTCCCAAGATGCCTGGAGAGCATGGAGCCTCCTTCCCCATGTGCTCTGGGCTATAATGTGCAGTTCCAAAACCATAAGCCAAAACAAACCTTTGCCTCTTCATTTTGAGACGCTGGGAGTTCCATCCAGAGCCTAGCACCTGCTAGGTGTGTGCTCTACCACCAAGCTACATAAGAAAACCTTCCCTCTGTGTAAGTTGATTTGTATTAGGTATTTATGGTAAGGAAAGCTCACGGTCACCTCATAACTCTGTGAGCTTGGGACAAGTAACCTATTGATCCTGTTTTTATCTGCTGTCTTAGTCCTGTTCTATTACAGTGAAGAGACTTCATGACCAAGGCAGCTCTTACAAAAGGAAAACATTTAAATGGGGGCTTTGTTTACAGTCAGAGGCTTAGTCCGTTATCTTCACGACAGGGGGCACAGTGGTAGGCATGCATGATGCTGGAGAAATAGCTGAGAGTAACATCCTGATCTGCAATCACACAGAGAGGGACACTGGCTGGGGACAACCCACCTCCAGTGACACACTTCCTCCAACAAGGCCACACCTCCTAATCCTTCTCAGACAGTGCCTCTTGCTGATGACTAAGCATTCTGATATGTGAGCCTATGGAGACTATTCTTATTCAAACCATCATATCTGTAAAATAATATTATGCATCTTGCAGGAGAACAAATCACGTGATGCATGCAAAATACCAGCATAGCACTTGGCCCACAGTAAATACTAAATGATTGTTATATTAGGAGGAATGGATATCATAAAATCCTGTATAGTTTTTTTTTTTTTTTGTTTTGTTTTTTTTGAGAAACAGAAGTTATCCTTTGCTAACCAGTCATAAGGCCTTCCTGGAGGTTTTATAGTACAAATGTATTAAGTGTTCTCTAAAACAAGTAAGAGACTTTAGTAGAGAGAAATCCGTGTGCCTTGAGAAAGGCTAGTTGGAAAAATTTGCCCTTGTGGACAAGAATGAGCCCTATTGACTGCCATCTAGTCCTTGTCGGTTTGACCCCTTCCTCCTTGAAGGCAAAATGGAGTCAATAAAGCGTCCAGAAGAAGGTTTCATTTTCCCACTCAAAACACGTGGTACCTTTGTAACAAATCCTTCATTTTTTCTGGAACCAATTTTCAGTTAAAATTCCCTATCAAGGCCAGTGTCCTGAGGCAACTCGAACCAAGGTTGTGTTTCTTTATAACCTTGTGCTTGGAGGTTAGATTTTTCAAATAGTTCCCTTGTTTTCATTTCTTGCCTCCTTCCCTCAAAACTGTCAGTCAGGCGGTGGTGAACAGAAGCCCAAGGCCTCTTTATTTTAAGGTCCCTAGAAGCCAGCCAGGCTAGCTGAAGAGGGATTTTTTTTTTTTTTTAGTGCATACTAACCAAAGAGGGAAAGTTCTCATTTTGCTGATGGACAACAGAGAAGAAAAACAAAGCAAAGTAAAACAAACAAAACCAAACCACAGCTGCTCTATTGTGTAGTGAAGGTTTAGTAGCTATGTGGGGATTTTGCCCAACACTGATTCTCTCGAAGGCATTTTCTGATAAAGGAAACAAGTTTCATATGTTTAAATTCTGAGCTTCGAGGCTCTCGTTCTAGTTTGTGTGTTTTTAAATCTTCCACAGACTCCTGTTGCCTCCTACGTGTTTCTTTTTCTAACCCCGTCTCATCGGTGGGTACTAATTTCCTTTTGTTTTCTTATCTTTTGCTACTGTGTTATTTATGCCTTCTTTTTACACAAGGGCTTTCTAGCTTTTCTAGCTCGTGAATGCATTTTTTTGTAGTAGCTGAGCTCTAGCCTTACTCAGAATGTGAGAAGGCGACTCTTTTCATTGTGCTACCATAACCCTCCGATGCTGGCGCACTTTCCTCTGTTTCCTCTGTAGCTTTCGATCAGCGGCTTCGGCTTCTTCACTGACATTCACAGTCAGCAGATGACCTTACCTCAGCCTTCATCCGCCTTGTCTCAAAACGTCGATGTTTTCTCTAGAGTTTGTATTTACCATCCCTGGTCTCGCCAGCACGCCTGGCTTTCCCACTTCGCAAATTCGTATTGTCTGGCTTGGTTTGATTTTGGGCCACGTCTTGGTACAGTATACAGGCTGGTGTCGCGTTCCTGGGCTTAAAGGGTCTTCCTGCCTTCATCTCGCGGATACCAGAAATATTTTCATTGTTTTATATCACTTATTTTATGGGCGTTTGAACTGCATGCGTGTCTGCGCACCACAAGCATGCCTGGTGCCCGCAGAGACCAGAAGAGGGCATTGGATCCTCTGGAACGAGAGCTACACAGCCGGCTGTGAGCCACCTGTGGGTCCTAGAAATCAAACCCAGGTCCTGTAGAAGAGCAGCCAGTGATTTTAACCACCGCATCATATCTCCAACCCCAAACAACCAGATATTTTGAGGAAAATAAAACCTCTTTATTTTCCTTTATGTTACATTATTTTTCTCTTTATGCTAAGGTTAAATAAAAACATGTGCATTTAACTACAAAATTTTAAGAAAAAAAATTTAGAATGTGTAATAGAACTTATCACACTAGAAAAGTATTTTTCCACTTCACTTTAAATGTAGGTAATGAGATCTCCATGCATCTTGGCCACTGAAACAAAGCTCCAGAGAAAACCTCGTAAAAATGTCCACTTAGAGCCACATGTATGTGTACGTGTGTGCATGTGTGTGCGTGTGTGTGTGTTTCCATGAGAACAGAGGTAGGGAAAGTTGACTCAATTTTAGGAACAATAATGAATTGTGTAATTAATAGACACTTTATTGTGTATGGCATATGCCTGCAAGGATTTTTGTGTAATCCTCACAACGTGGGATTAAGAGTCATTTGAACTGAACCTTTTCTTGTAAAAGAAAATAAAATCTGTCATATCTCCATAGCTCTCACATCATAAGGAAAGTGTTGAGCTACAGGGAAAATTTAATGTTAGAAAAAAAGACAAAAAAAATCTCCTATAATTCATACAATTTATGTGCTTAATAAACCTACAGGCTTAGGTTTTACTTTAAAGGTTGTTGGACCACAGTGTTCCAAGGAGTAGAAAGCAGTGGTCCTTAGCCTTCCCAACGCTGGGATCCTTTAACACAGTCCCACATGTTGTGGTGAGCCCCAACCATAAAATTATTTCATTGCTACTTCATAACTGTAATTTTGCCACTGTTATGAATCACAGTGTAAATATCTGTTATGCAGGATATCTGATCTGAGACCCCAAAGGGGTCACAACTTACAGGCTGAGAACCACTGGTGCAGGAAGATGTAATTCCTGTTCCTAATTCTTCCTTTCTTTCTTTCTTTCTTTCTTTCTTTCTCTCTCTCTCTCTCTCTCTCTCTCTCTCTCTCTCTCTCTCTCTCCCTCCCTCCCTCCCTCCCTCCCTCCCTTCCTTCCTTTCTTGTTTTATTTTTTTGAGACAAGGTAACTATGGAGCCAGTTCTGGAACTTTCTTTGTAGACCAGGCTGGACTCAGATTCACAGAGATCCCCCTGGCTTAGTCTCCGGAGTGTTGGGATTAAAGGTGTGAGCCACCACTGCCTGACCCCAATCCCGATTCTTAATGGTATATGTTGGAAGACTCGGGTGTTTTATTTCCCTGTCCTTCTGTTCTGACTTCATTACTTATTCCATAGCACAGCCTGAAGTTCTGTAATGAGACCCACCCTACTGTTTCATAAGGATGGGGTTGACGTGGTTCATTCTGTGCTTCTGAAGCAGGGTGCCTAAGGCCTAGTAATTTATGGATAAAAAACAAAACAAAGACAAATTTCTCCTAGGAGTCTGGGAGTCCAAGGCAAAGGGCTCTTCTGAAGAAGGTGAGAGGGCAAGAGAAGGCTGACAAAGAAAGAGAAGAGGTCCTAACCTGAGCTTTTATGAAAAATCAGAAACCTACTCATCCAATCACTAGCACACTCCCAAGATAATACTCTGAATTATAAGAGCAAAGCCCTGAAGATATCATCTCCCTTTGCACCTTCCTGGATCTCCAGAAACCTCCTTACAGCAGCCAACACATAGCACATGGGTCTCAAAGCCAGTTGAGTCTTCCACGAGCGGGCATTGGACCATCTTGGACCCCTCTTGTAACTTACTTCACCTGTAAGATCATAAATGAGAAAGGACCAAAATCCACATTGTCAGCTGTTCTTCAATTGAATAATATTTCAATAGAATTACAACAATCATTCATTCACTTTTTTTTTGCAGGAGTATTTTTCCTGGTCCTTCCAACTGTCTTGCAAGTTGATTATTATCTT